AGAGAGAGAGAGAGAGAGAGAGAGAGAGAGAGAGAGAGAGAGAGAGAACAAGCTTAAGATAGAAAAAAGGAAGAGGAGGAAGTGAGGAAGATAAAGAGGTATATGTCAGAGAAGGATATTGAGTGTACAATTTTACACATTGTAATGTCTCTACTCTGTACAGTACTACCATTGCAGGTCAGCATGACCATGCTCGTCTATCTCTTTTTTTTCTCATTGGTTTATTCACTTTTCATTCCAACATCTACCCCCTCTATTTCAAGCACCTTGTATAGCTCCTGCCCTATCCCACCTCCCCTTCTCTTCTGAGAAGGGGGAAGCCATCTTGGGTACCAGCCACCCTGGCCCATCAAGTCTTTGTAGGACTAGGCACACCCTCTCTCACTGAGGAGAAGCAAGGCAGCCCATTTAGGGGAATAGAACCACAGACAGGCAGCAGATTCAGGGACAACCTCTGTTCCAATTTTTGGGGGACCCACATGAAGACCAAGCTGCACATCTGCTATATATATGTTCAGAGTGCATAGGTCCAACACATCCTCTTTCTTTGGTTGGGGGTTCAGTGTCTAGGAATCCCTAAGAGTTACTTTGTTAAGGTTAGTTTACTTTATTGGTCTTCCTGTAGCATTCCTACCTTGTTCAGATTCTGCAATCCTCCCCCCTACTTTTCCACAGATTTGAGCTCCATCTAATGTATGAATGTGAGTCTCTGCATCTGTTACTATTGGCTGATGTATTGATCTTCTCAGATAACAGTTATGCTAAGATATTGTCGGCAAGCATAACAGAGTATCATTAATAGTATCAGGGAGTTCTTGCCAATAGGATAAGTCTCAATTTGAGCCAGTCATGGATTGGCCTTTCCCTTCTCTGCTCCATCTTTGTCTCTTTACATCTTATAGGTAGGACAAGTTTTGGGCCAACATTTTTATTGGTGAGTTGCTGTTTTTATTCCTCCACTGGCTAAGGGAGGTGGCAACTTCATGCTCAACATCCCCCATTGCTATAAGTCTTAGCTAGTCACCTCCATAGACTCGCTGGAGCCTCTTCTGTTCCAGGTTTCTGGCATGTCCTAGAGATGTATAGCCTGCCCATTGGCCACCACTGATTTTCTGTTCTCTCTCCCCTGCTCTCTCTATACCTGATTCTCCAACCCTGTTACCCTACTTATCCCTTCTCCCACCCAGTTCCCTCCTTCCATCCACCTCCAATATCTATTTTCTGAGAAACATTCAAGCATCCTCCCTTGGGCCCTACTTGTTATTTACTTTCTTTGTGTCTGTGGATTGTTGTGTACAAACTTTTCTATACATTTGCCTGCAAAATTCATGATGTCTTTGTTTTTAATAGATGAGTAGTATTCTGGTATGTAAATGAACCATATATTATGTATCCATTCTTCAGTTGAGGGACATCTAGGCAGTTTCCAGTTTCTGACTATTATCAATCAAGCTGCTATGAGTATAGTTGAGCAAGCGTCCTTATGAGATAGTGAAACATCTTTTGGGTATGTGCCCTGGAGTGATATCGGTGGGTCTTAAAGTAGAACTATTCCCAATTTCCTGAGAAACCATCAAATTGATTTCCACAGTGGTTGTACAAGTTTGCCCTCCCCTTCATTGAATACATTTGGCAATATTCCTCTGTTCCTATATTATAGAATAGTGTGAGGAGTATTGGTATTAGCTCTTCTTTGAAAGTCTGATAGAAACCTGTACTAAAACCATCTGGCTCTCAGCCTATCATCATCATTATTATTATTATTATTACTATTACTATTATTATTTTGGTTGGGAGACTTTTAATGAATAGTTTACTTGATCTTAATTTAACTTTGGTAAGTGTTATCCATCTAGAAAGTCATTCATTTCATTTAGATTTTTTCCAATTTTGTTGAAATAAGACCTAATCATTATTTGGTTTTCCTCAGTGTCTATTGTTATGCTTCCCTTTTCATTTCAGAATTTGTTAATTTGGATACTGTCTATTGGATAGTTAGTTTGGATATAGGCTGGTTTATCTTTTTGATTTTCTCACAGAACTAGCTCTTGGTTTCATTGATTCTTTGTTTCTAATTGAGTAATTTCAACTCTGATTTTGATAATTTCCTGATATCTACTCCTCTTGGTATGTTAGCTTTGTTGTTGTTGTTGTTTGTTTGTTTTCTAGAGCTTTCAGGTATACTTTTAAATTGTTAGTATGAAAACTCTCCAATTTCTTTATGAAGGCACTTAGTGCTATGAACTTTCCTCTTAGCATTGCTTTCATTGTGTCTCATAAGTTTGCATATGTTGTGCCTTCATATTCATTGAATTCTAGATGGTCTTTAATTTCTTTCTTTATTTCCTTCCTGACTCAGTGATCATTGAATAGATATTTCTTCAGTTTCCGTGAGCATGTAGGCTTTCTCTTGTTTCTGTTGTTGTTGAAGTCCAGCTTTAATTCATGGTGGCCTAGTGGGATGCAATGTGTTTTTCCAATTTTTCTGTATCTGTTGAGGCTTACTTTGTAACTGAGATATTGTCAGTTTTGTAGAAGACTCCATGAAGTGCTGAGAAGAAGCTATATTCTTTTGTGTTTGGGTGAAATGTTCTGTAAGTATCTGTTAGGTCCATTTGATTCATAACCTCTTTTAATTTCATTATTTCTCTGTTTTGTTTCTGTCTCAATGACCTGTCAACTTATGAGACTGGGTTGTTGAAGTCTCCCACTATTAATGTGTGAGGTTCAATGTGTGATTTAAACTGTAGCAATGTTTTTTTTTTGTTTTACAAATGTGGGTGCCCTTGTATTTGTATCATAAACTTTCAGAATTAAGACAACATCTTGGTTGATTTTTTCTTTGATGAACATGAAGTTTCTTGTACCTCTTTTGAGTAATTTTGGTTGAAAGTCTATATTTTTAGATATTAGAATGGCCACTCCAGCTTGTTTCTTGGATATATTTGTATGGAAAACGTTTTCCAGCCCTTTTTACTGAGATAGTGACTATCTTTGTTTCCAAGATTCTTTTTTGTACAGCAGAATGGTAGATTATGTTTATACATCCATTCTGTTAGCCTGTATCATTTTATTAGCAAATTGTAACCATAGATATTGAGAGATATTAATGACCAATGATAGTTAGTTCCTGTTATTTTAAAATTATGGAAAGCTTCATTAACTCACATGTCATCATTTGCACAGTGGCCATGCTAATACTTGCCATAGCATTCTATTTTTAGTATATGTGCTGCCAAAGTGAGCACTATGTCCATTTCTTTACATAGTTACTAGGATTCAAATTCAGAGACTCACACTTGTTTAGCAAATGCTTTTATCCTCTCAGAGTCTGCCATCTGTCAGTTCCCATGTGACCTTCTTACCTCTGCCTTTTTTCTCCTTTTTTCTACAAGAATTGACTGGATGAGGTCAATTATATCTACAATTATATCTACAGAGACCTTCTTTCTAAATAATGTGATGGTAACATGTCTGGGCTTTGAATAATGAACATATGTGTTTGAAGGGAGTGGGGCAGCATTCAACCCATTACAGGAGGACTATCAAAATGTTTAGTCTTGAAAAGAAATCCTCTGGGGAATGTGTTTAACACAGACACTTGCTTCATTAAAGTACATAGTACCCAAATACTTGGTAGGGTACAGTGTCTGCTGAGCCATTTGCTTATATTGCTCTTGGGAGTCCCTTGTACCTTCCTGGTTTGATTTGTCTTTATATGAGAGGGGAAGGATTTAAAAATTGTTGCATGTTTCAGTGCATCAAAATGGTTATTATGATCAAAAAATGAAGCACTCTAGCAGGCCCTGAAAATTTCTGCTTATGGTTTCTGTGAATAGGTGGTACTTTGTTTTGATTGTAGGAAATACTGTCCCTGACTCTTTTAATATTTTATTTTTTAGAAACTTTATTTAGACTAGTTTTTATTGACTTCATAGCATTCAAAGTTCTCCCAGAGTTTATGGGAAATAAAATACAATCATAGGCTTGTCTTTCATGGTCCAAATGTGGGAGCAAATATGATTACTGCTTGTGACTTATCCTTTAAAATCCTTACTTTCCAGGTTCTCTTAATTGCTCTTTATTCCTCTAGTGGTTTGTGGTGTGTGTGTGTGTGTGTGTGTGTGTACATGTATGCACATTCAGTGGTTTGTGGGATGTGTAGTTCTGTGGTATTTGGTATGTATGTATTCTGTGGTTTGGGTGTGTATATGGATTTATGTGTGTATGTATATGTTCTTCCTGATATATTTAGGGGCATGACACTAAGACATGTTTTGATGTCTGATATGTTGAGTATGTTTTTACTATAGAGAAGTTCACAACTGAAAAAAGAAAAGCCCAACTTGTTTTGTGGTTCATGGCCATATGCTTTTATGTGTTTCGTGTGATCTTCCATAGACCTCTTTACTTAGGTGAAGTGTCAGGTTTTGTGTTTGGTTTGGTTTTATATTTTTGAGACATAGTTTTGCTATGTAGGCAAGGCTGGCTAGGAACCTCTGGTACTTCTGCAGCAGCCTCTGAATGCTAGGATTCAGTAGTGCCTTGTCAAACTGGACTGACTGCAGTTTTAAGTATCTACTTAACTGTTTCTCACAAATTAAAGTCAAATATAAAAAGCAACCTTTATACTTTGTATATATTTTCTCTAAAATACCAATCACTTTAAAATACATTGGTATTTCCAAAGCAAGCCCTTTGGCACAGTCAACTTTACTAACAAGTTCATGGCAATATTTTCTAAGAGCCTAAGTTAAAATTCACCCAAGAACACACCAGCAGCCAAAAGAGAAAATAGTTTTAAATGCTTAAAGGGAACACTAAACAGCAAAGAGAATGAATGATCTGGAGTGTGTACAAAATTGTGGGTGAGTCTGACAGCATAAAACGTAATAAGGCAGACAAACAAACAAACAAACAAACAAAAACCCCGTATACAATGTATTCTTTATTGGTAAAAGAAACAGGAAAATTATTTTTTGCTGTTAGGCGGGAAGGTGATGACTACACTTGGGTGTGTTGAGGCACTCTGTTGGTGAGTTCCCTGTGACAAGTGATTCAAATATATGCTCATAAATTATATACACTTTTTATATGCATATTTCAAATTCACTATGTAAAAGAAGAAATATATGATGCCTGGTAGCTATAAAATCAAGTTTGTAGTGCTTAAAAAGTTCTGACACCACCCATCTATGGAAACCATCAGTGCAGACCATCCAGAACCACATTCCAGCTCAACCTTTGTGCTGATGAAACAGCTACAAATGCTTGCCTTCACTCTGTGTTATAGCTTTTTTTCTTATAGTAATTGTTCCTCAGGGACATCTTAACTGTGCCCAGTTTCATCTTTATATTTTAAGAAATAAGGAGGAAACTTTAGTTCTAGAAGTTTCCCATTCCTGGTTGTATCAAACTTAAAATTTGTTGAAGATATAGATCAAATGTTGGGATTATATCTATTTTTTTTAACCTGAGTTTTTATTTCTCATTTCTATGCACTATATTTTATCAAAATTTTGATATTTTGTGTGCACTGACTTACATAGGTTATTCTTTTTTTCAATTCTATTCCCTCAAAAGCCATCTTCCTTTGGTAATTACATGCCTTTAGACCCAGTTTATTACTTTTAAATTTATATACTCCCTGTAATGTTCCATTTTGGGTCCATCTATTCCCAAATTCTTTTGTCAAAGAGCATTCTATATATTTATAGCTACCTTTATCCTTAAATTTATTCCTCCCCACTTTCTCTGTGTACTCTTGCTCTTTTTATGCCAACAACTCTTCTTTACTTGTATTTTTATTTTGATTTATCTTTCAATGAGTGCAACTTTTTAAAGGAAAGACTACTAGAGGAATATTTATGTGCCATTTGCCATCTAAAAATGTATTTCTCTTGTCTTGAAAGTAAACCAAATGAAGCAAAATAATATATTTCAAGACTGAGTTCTGGGGTCATAGTTTTCCTTCTAACTACTATAATTTTTTGTTTTGTCTTTGTCTCCATCTTCCTTTGTGGCCCAGGAAGCCCTATCAGTTTGTAACTATGAATGGAAGGTGTATCTTTGGATGTCCTTTGAGCAGAAACTGAGTAGAGTCTGCCCACTTACCAGAGCTGAAAGACAGAATACAGCCTGTACAGTGTTCAGTGTACATGGCACATGCATTTCCTGCACTCACCATTCTATGAAATTATGTTTGTCTCTAGTTCAAGGCTTTAGAGCTTATTTGCTCTCTCTGCCCTCATCAGTACATAAGGTTGAGTAATGGAACAAAAATCTGATTTATTTTTCATATTTTCCTGACAGGATATTACACAGAACTACATTTTCTGTAATAAAGACAATTTCTGAATAAAAGCAAATTTTTTCTCTCAGCAGCAAATTTTGCCATCATTGCTTTCACTATATGGTCAGATGGAGAAAGGATAGTCCATAGGAACTAATGTTTGGCAAACAAGTTTGTGGGCATGGGAGGGGGCAGAGAGCTCCCTAGAAAAGGGAGGCCAGGAAGAAATAAAAGAAGCAGGCAATATGAGTTTTGGGGGCCCCATATGTGTCACCCCAATGTCATTCACTTATTTCCTTACTACTTTCAAGGGGAAAGAGAGTCCAGAGAAAGGCAGGAGACTATAGTCCATCTAACCTGGCTAAAGGATAACCCTAGCCTACATGTCCCATTACCATTCATTTATGTTTGTTCTTACAAATGTTTTCAGACACATCTCTGCTCACTCTGGAGGATCTAGGAAAATTGTTTAGTGAGTCCCAGAGTACTACCTCTGCCTTGCTTTATTTATCAGTGTTTGTATTTAGCCTAAGCATGCTTGAAAGATATATATAAGGGAAACTCAGATAATGACATAGAAGGGATAGAGCCTGAAGTCTACTTCCTTGTCCTTGGCCAATGTCATTCCTACCAAGCAGCCCATTTCCTTGTCCTTGGCCCATGTCATATTCTTGCCAAGCAGCCCCAAAACTCTCTGCCTCCCCCCCCTTTTCATTTTATAAACAAGACTGAGCCTGTCTTAGGTCATTCTGACAAGAATGCCTTCCTTACCTGTCATGGAATATGCATTATCAAAAGCAATGCACTTATGTCGTAGGTTGGTAAGGCTCTGTGCAGAATCTTACCTGTCCTTGGCTTGCCAGCCTGTTAATTTAATAACTCTGTCTCGGGGTTCATTTTCAGGTTCAAGCCATGTACTTTGGCTGCCATCATGTTGATGTTGTTAAAGAGAAGCTGTCACATAATGGGCAGGAATAAAAACATTCCCAGGACAAAAAGGGCTAGCATGATCAAGCTATAAATGCCATTCTTGAAGCTTGACCAAAATAGAAATACTTATCTCAGGTTGTTTACATTTATTGAATTGCTAGTTCCTGAACCTAAAACTGACCTTAATACTTGCATGTAATTAAAATGGCATAAAGCAAAATGGAGAAAGGGGGATGGGATGGTGTTTTCTAGGGAGGGGAGATGGGGAAAGGGGATGACATCTGAAATGTAAATAAATAAAATATCCAATAAAAATAAAATAAAATAAAAAAGAAGGGATAGAGCACCTGAAGTGAAAGATGGTGACAATCCAACATAAATTTCCAGACTGGCAGACACAGAGTAAGACATCCCTAACTGTACATGTTCATACTCAAAGTCATCAAATTTCTCCCTCTGTTCTCTAGGGTTGCATATCAGGGACCCAAAGACAAAATAGATGATAATGTCTTACACAAATCCAGCTAATGTTGCTGGATTTGGTTTGCTACTGTCTTAAGTACTGCCATATTGCTATGAAGAGACCCTATGACCAAGGTAACTTACGGAAGAAAACATTTAATTAGGGGCTCGCTTATAGTTTCAGATGATCAGTCCATCATAATTATAGTGAGGAGCAAAGTCACATACAGAAAGTCAAAATGTAAGAGCAATAGCTGAGAGTTTTATATCCTCATCTGGAAGCAGCTGTGATGGGGGCATGACAGAGACATAGACAAAAGCAGAGACAGAGACCCAGTACCTGGCCTGGGCTTTTGAAACTTCAAAGACTACCCCAGTGACACACTTTTATACTTCTTACAACAAGGCCACAACTCCTAATCCTTCCATGTTTGTCACATGAAGCCTAAGCATGCAACTATATGAGCCCATGTGCATGTGTGTGTTTGTATGTGTGTGTGTGTGTATGTGTGTGTGTGATTGTATCATTCTTATTCAAACCACTACAGCTATCATCTTAAATCC